CTTAATCCGGCCCTGGAAATAACATATCGATACATTCGATATATCTAACAAAAAACATCGATATTTTGAATATATCGATATATATTTTATTTTTCTATTTTTTTCTACAAGCGTGCGAAAAGTGCTTTTTTCCTGCGCGCATTTTAGGCCATGAAAATATCACCTTTCCGCACTAGTGTGGAAAAGTAAAATAATTATGCAATGTAAGGTCATCCTGATACTTTCATGTCCTCAAATGCGTGCGGAAATGTACTTTTCCGCACGATCGTAGGAAAATAACGTTCCTTAATCATGCGGAAAGCCTCTTTTCCTCATTCAGTTGGCACGTACACGCCCTAACTGACGTTCGTTTCATTTTAGCCGCCATTGTCAACTGTCAGACTGTCACAGTCAATAAATTAACTATGCGCACGAGCCAAGAATTATTTTAAAATTTCCGATATATCGAAAGGATTATATCGATATTTTTTTCGATATATCGAATGTAAAATATCGATTAACATATATCGATATATTTGAGATATATATCGATATTTACAAAATATAGTTATTTACCTAATAAATGCAGAAAGTGATACTTTACCGCACGCAACGGCAGTTGACCGAACGACGTGAAGCGGAGTTCGGTCAAGCCGTTAAGGGCGGTAAAGGCACTTTCCGCATGTGTTAGGTACAAAATTTTACCTATGAGCAACTAACACTCGATCTAACATCTCCAAAAAAAGGCATTAATAAAATTAATTATTGAATCAGATTAATTAATGAAATTAGATTAGATTTAGAAATGATCAAAAATCCATTTTCTGAAAAAAAAAAAGGATTTTTCATCATAAATACCAAAATCTACTTTATTTACAATCATACATGTAATGTTGACTTTACTGACTTTTAAAAAGTTCGAAAATGTCACTTTTTTGACTTTTACTTTCGACCCGTGGGCCGAAAGTAAATGAAATTTTTAAAATTTATTGTATTTTTTGACTTTTACTTTCGGCCCACGGGTCGAAAGTAAATGAAATTGTTAATTATTGTATTTTTTAGTTTTAATCCAAATGAAAATTTCAAAATTCGAATGATTGTAAATAAAATAGTATACATACCTCAGTGAAAAGTTACCGTACACTTGCAGTCCACTTTACCGCATACTATGCTGTAAAATTAACTTTACCGCACACTATGCGGTAAAGTAACTTTACGGCATAGTGTGCGGTAAAGTGCTACTTTCCATTTCTAAATAAGTGCGGCAAAGTGCACTTTACCGCACGCTCGTAGGTAAAGTAATTTTTCAGCACTGAGTAGGCTCCCTACGGCACGCAAATGAGTGCGGTATAGTGCACTCTACCGCACGGCGTGCGGTAATATTATTACCGCACGCTCTATCCACATAGGTACGTAATACCTTCAATCGCCTACCAAAGATAAATTACCTACCTATCACCTAAATTCTACTTGTTCACTGTCAAATGTGAAAGGCGCATTTTTTTCATCATTTTTTAAACTTCTTTTAGATATTTTGTTATACCGCACGATTGTAGAATAAATACTGTATAATACGTATGGTAATTAGGCTATTACCGCCCTTAGAGATTGCAAATTTCTCTCGCGTGCGGTAAACCTAGTTACCACACCTATTAATTATATTAAATAATGTAATATTACCATTTCACCTAGATTTTTTTCATAGGAAGTCGTCAATTTTTACGTTCAGTAGATAAACGTAGGTACCCAATCTTTTCCTATCAAAAATTTCTGAAGTTGTACCAAAGGTTTTACCCAGTTTATTTTCAAAACACAAAAGGCAAGGCAAAAACTCTTCGACGGCACGGGCCAGTCAAAACAATTATTGAGATAAGAATAAATAAAATAATATTTTATTCCCTGGATGGTGTCGAGGCGCCACGCCGGCCGGCCGGGGGTTGGCGGGGCAGTTCTCAGTGTTGCCATGCCATAGAATATGTAGTTGCGATTGCATGAATTGATCCGAAATAATACATTTTCTGTTTTTTCATGTTTAACAAGAATGAACGCGTTTAACAAAAAAATTATATTGGTAAAAAATGTTAGTATTTCAACATAGAATTGTGAAAAGTATTTTATATTCCAATCTTTTTTTTTTTGACAAGCAACATAATTTTTAGAATTATTTTTTTCTATAAAAAATTACATTTCACTCTTCTGTAATTCATCATCTATCATCCCACCAAATTTCATTGATTTTGATCCAATACTTTCGACGTAAATCAGAAAATAGTTTAGCCCGTCGCACAGAGGTACCCAGGCCTCTTAATGGATGAGAGAGAATCCTAACGATGTCCAATTTTTTTTCTAAGGACAATCGTAATAGCTGTTCAAACAAATCACGTTCCATGCTCAATTCGACCAACTTTCCAGTTACTGTCACTTTCTTTTTGGGCACCACACTAGTAAAGTTCAAAAATTTATTTTGTTTGATTGGTTTCTCAAAACATTTTTTATCGACTGCATATTCTTAAATGAATGAATTTCCTAGTTTTTCATCAATAATTAAAAACTGCGCTACTCGATCTTCTGTTGCTCCTCCAGTTAATATATTATACAATAACCCTTTGTCTAACTCCGTAGCGAAGGCATTGACGTTCTCTTGATGTTTGCGAATATATTATCAAGAGATTGGACATAATTACATACGGAAACCCGTATGTAGCTTGGCTTTAAATCTGCAGTGATATCCTGCGATTTTTTCAATCCTGTTTCGTTTAATACGAAGTTTATGTTGGTGCAGCGTAAGCTATGACTTGAAGCCTAACGTTGTTTATGTAGTACTAGTATTAATTAGGCACTAAATAATTATCCATTGGTGAATATATCTCCAATTAGGTAGAACTGAAGTTCTGAAGTTGTAAGTCGAAATTGCCCTATGCATATTTTTCATAATAAATTCTCAAAAATGATTTCGGGAAACTTGTAATTTAATTGGGTACTAATCTATATATATAAAACACAGTTGTGTTGGTGTTGAGCACTTATAACTCGAGAACGGCTGGACTGATTTTTATGATTTTTGCTTTATTGGATTTGTCTTTGTCCATCCTACGATAATAAATTGAAAAAATCCAAAAAAAAAACAAAAAAAAAAAATATCTATTCTACTTTTTAATAAAAAAAATTAACTAAGCCCGCATACGGCGCCATCTCTTATAACCGATACCAAGTTTACCGTCATATTTTCATTGCAAACCATGTGGATTTTATTGTCACACACTTTGCACAAAAACAATTTGAGGAAAGCACTTTATTTTTAATTGTTCTTCACAGTAAAAATGTCCAAAAATAAATAGAATGACAATGTTTTAATTGTGTATTTTATTTTGTTGTTGGTTCGTTCATTCCGAAAGAGCGCGAACTGGTCTCCCTGTCATTTCTTGACGCTTGACCATTGACGTTCTGTGGCTAAGTTCCGTTTCTCCTCTTAGGCATCCCTTGACCGCCGTGTGCCGTGCCGACTGTTCGGAGTGCTCCGTCCGACTGGTGTCGAGTGGCAGAAAGCCAGGTTATGAGTCCGCCACAACCATTTTGTATACGGCGCCATATATGATAGGTACCTAGAACGAAGCTCGCCGTTGTGCGGTAATTGCATTGCAGATACAGTAGAACAGAATACTGCTAAGGAACTGGAGCTATTCCATACAGAACTATTCCACTATTCCGATCAGATAAAGTGGTGCAGAAAGAGTAGATCAGATAGAATAGTGCAGATACAGTAGAACAGATGGAGTATTGCAGTGCAGATAAAATGAGACAGGGCTGCGCTGGAGATTTTTTTTGTTTTCTTTACATTTTTTGAACATTCTTGTGCCCGAGTTTATTTATTTGGTGGTAGACTTTATGAAAATAATGCCCACAAGATGCCTAAAATGGGATGATGTAAAATTTTAATTTTAGGTGACTTCTGATCCAGAGAGTAAAAATTAATTTTCTTCAACCAAAGCCAAATTCACCATCGAAAAAAACTGAATTTAATTCAGTCAATAAAATCTGTTTTTTTTTAAAGATAATTCCCCAATTCAAAAATTTAGTAACTATGTTGGCAACACAAGCCTTTTCTACATAAAAATTTTGAAAGCATTGACAATTTTACATTGTATTGTCAACATAATGTCATTTTGACTTTTATCTTTAAAAAAAAACGCACTTTAGTTACGTTAACACAACATTTAATAGGTATTTAATAATTCAGAGGAGGAACGAAGTTCGCCGGGTCAGCTAGTATTTTATATATGATTCACGAAAAAAAGTATTAGCTGTTGGTGCAAAAATTGTAAGCTGATGCTTGAAAAATTTTGAGCAGCAGCTAACAGCGGGGCTACGCTCGGAACCTTTTGTGACCCCAGCTGACAACTTTTCCACCGGCATATGAGCAGCTGACACTATTTTCCGTGAATCATATATAAAATATTGGGATCCACCCAAATTTTAATTTGCCCGTCATCGTTTTGGAAATTCGCATTTTCGGGCTCATTCGCACCCCTAGCTGACAAGTACCCCACCACCACCCGGCTAGCTGAAAATGTTCGATGTTCATTATGGAACATAATCTTCCGTTCATAAAAGTTTCGTGCTGCCCGGGAGTGATTCCCGTCACGATTTTTCTGATGTATCTGCAACTCCTTAGCAAATACTTCCACCGGCACCAAGCCAGCTGACACCTCGAACGTATCTGCACAATGGGGGTACAATCGAATAAAAATTTAAAAAAACCTGCCCGCTAATCGTTGAAATTTTTGTACATGGGCTCCAGGACTATAATGCCTTGTTTTGCAAAGCAAGTTCATAGAATTCTTGACAACTTTTGGTGTAGTTAACATTGATTTGAAGCTCTGATTTAACATGATCTACTGTCAAGTGGTTCCGTTCATTAAAGCAAGCTGAATCACGATGAGAAAAGATGCGAAAATCAGAAAAACAAACTGAATGATTTTTAGAATGTTCTTCAATATAGGGTTTGAGTTAAATATCAAAGTCTATTTATCAACAGGAGATTTGTCTCTACAGGCTGCAGCTTCAGAAGTAGCTTTCGATATTTCACAGTACTCTTCATATAACTTATCCATGTCTAAACTAGAATCTAAACCTATACTTGTTACAGTCTCCGTCAAATCGTCAGAAGTATATGTTTTTTCCAAAGAAAAAATTGCATCAAGAAGCCTTTGTTCTAGTTTACTTCTTAGATCTTCTAATATTCTCAAAACTTCGAAACAAAGAATAGTTTTTGTTTCAAGTTTTGTACAGCTTCGTAAAATATTTTCAAGATAAGAATTGTGAAAGAAACTGAGATAGCATTCAGTTATTGTGGTTTTATTGCCCTCAGATTTGTTCTGGAAATATTGTTTAAGCGCTACCGATAATTCTTCACCAAGCGAAATAAAATAACTTTCAAGAGCCGGAAAAACTCGTATCAAGCGTTCAACGGCAGGGTATAACGAAAGCCATCTCGTCGGCACATTTTCAAGTACGGATTTGTACTCCAAATCCACAAACTCAAAAATTTCTTTGAGCTCTTTTACACGTTTTGCATGAGAGGAGAAGTGGCTATAAACTGTAATTATAGTATTGTTTAACCCTTTTAACAAATGTCTTTCTACTCTTTCTTGACATAATGTTTACATTAAAATCTGAGAAAAGGTTCCTAAAACTTACATTTTCAATAATATGTATAGGAGACAGGGTATCTGCAACAAATCTTTTTAACTCTGTATCAAACTGTGATTGGTTGAATTTTTTTGCTCGAGGATCAACCACTTCCGATATTTTTGGTTGTACAACTTTTACTGAACCACATGTCGTTTTCAGTGGTAAATCTGGGTATTTAACTTTATGTAAATCATATTTTTCGACAGCTCCAGTGTGTTTCGTTTTGAGGTACTTGACAAAATTTGATGAACTGTTCGTAGGTTCACGAATTAAAGTTATAGCAGGAAGAGATATTGCACATTTGGCAAGTAGAACCGAGTTTTTCATACTTACTGGAAAAAACAATTGTCCGTCAAATAAAGGATAATATCTGCGTAATCTGAATTGCAAAAGGTCGTTCTCCGCTGTTTCAGGCAAGATCTATTAGCGTGGCGTGTATACATCTCCATTTGATAGGTATCTTTTATTATCGCGCCACGATTTTATATCGAACTTAAAAATATATAATGTGCCATTAACGCTATTGTTAAATCTAGACTGTAACAGACAGTGATTTGCTAAATTATTTTTCACGTTTCAGTGCAATTTTTCAATAAATTCGTTTAAATTAAAAAAACCTTTTTTAGTTATTTTATTATACTCTTCAGTGGCTAAGTTTTTCTCCAAGTCTCCTCTATATACGCATACTGAACATTTGGCTACAGATTCATTTCGCCCTTTTTCAAGATGTGCTTATTTAGCTTCTAATTTAACCGAAAATATGCCGTCCTTTTGAACATTTTTCTTCCAAACAAAACCACATAATATCGAAACCAAAGAAGAAAATAATGTTTTACTTTACTCAATGAACTATAATAACCAAGGACTGGAATGCGCATGCTTATTGCCATGTCAGTTGAAAGTGAAGCCAACAAAGATAAGTATGCCTCAAAATGACATTTTTACATGGAGAAATGTCACTTCAAGTAATAAACGCTAAGGCTCTCTCAAAATGGTCGGTCAAAGTACTATTAATCTTTTTTGTTGATCGCTGACATAGGACGTTTCGGAAAGTTTCGTTATATTTACCTACACAGGTTTTATTAATTGGAATATGTGTTAATAGTTATTTTCCTAACAAGTGCGGAAAGTGATGCTTTCCCGCACGCGACTGCCGTTGACCCGAACGACGCGAAGCGGAATTCGGGCAAGCAGTCGAGTGCGGGAAAGACACTTTCCGCATGAGTAAGGAACATGTTTTTTTCTACGAGCGCGTTTAAATATAAAAATAAAAATTAAGTAAATTCAAAGCGATATATTATTGAAGAAATCGTTCAATTACAATAGTTATTTATGTATCAAGGGTACTAAGTAGATGATTATGCCCTGAGGGCGACAGTCTTACAAAGCCGAGTGCCTCTGGTCCGAGGGTTTATATATCTATTAGTACTCGTGGTGCATACAAACTTTTATGTCATACCAGTTGGTTGTGAATAATAAATATACGTATATAGGAAGCCTTCCAAAGAAAAATACATATATATATATACAAACATATACAGTGTCATTACTTAAGTGTGCAACATATGGGATTTTTTTTTAGCAATAGCACAATCAAAATACAAACAAAGCCAAAAGATGGTGCATGTCTAATAATCATATTAGGTTCACTTAGAATGGTTGCAAGTCAAACAGCATACAGGGTAGCTCAAAAAATATCAAAATTTTAGCAATATTTACTTGAATAAAATAAAACTTTTGCACTTTAAGAAGAGTTTTTTTTAATATGGCTATCATCATTAGTAATGTTTTAACTTGTTTAAAAAAAATGTGACATTTTAAAGTTGTGTTGAACATCATTGCAACAAACATGAATATTGTGATTCCATAAAAAATTAAAAGTTAATTTTACAAATATGCTTGAATTTGAACAAAGTTATGTAAAATTTATTTGATTTTAATTAATTTTTGAGAGTATTAGGGGCGGAAATAAAAAATTTGAAAAATATAGAAATTATAGATTTTTTTCGAAAAAAAATAAAAAAAATCTTGGGAGGCTATGTTTTGGTACTTAGGCATAACTTTTAATTCCAAACAACTTTTCTCTATAACATTTTCCTGAATTTTCTAAAATAAGGGTACTTTACAGTACAGCTTTGATATTGTTTGAGCTACCCTGTTTGCTGTTTGACTTGCAACCATTCTAAGTGCACCTAATATGATTATCAGACATGCACCAACTTTTGGAATTGTTTGTATTTGGGTTGTGCTATTACTAAAAAAAATCCCCATATGTTGCACACTTAAAAAATCACACTGTATAAGTATATATACAAGAATATATACAAGTATATATACAAGTATATATACAAGTTTATATACAAGTATATATACAAGTTTATACAAGTATATATACAAGTATATATACATATTTTTTGCATTTGATGGCACCCATATAACCCATGTCCAATCTGACACCCAAACTTTTATCCATATATAATTAATGGTATCACATGTTGCTATATTGGCATCCATACAGCTTGTGTCTACATGGCACCAAAATGTATGAACTTGTGATGCTCGATGTCAAACTGACTCCCTGCTGTTGGAAATGAAAGTTCGAAATATTTATTCTGATCTGTCCTTTAGTTTATTGTTTATACCTATGTGTCATTAATATGTCAGGTGACAATTTCATTGTTAATTATTGCTAGTATTGTTATTAGCAATTCTATGATTAGTTGGCGTCGTGTTGCCTAGCTGCCTGTTTATTGTACTTCAGTTGTTAATTAAAAATTTATGAATATTGTTGAGACCATAGTTTTTACTTCACAAGAAACACTCCACATTCCAATAGGTTATGAGGCCCAGTTACGTCCAGTGAAGTAAAATAGCTGTGTGGCGTGGTCTTGGAACGTGTGTTGAGCAGAATTTCCAGAAATCCAGAAAATGGCAGTGTCAAATTTTATTGCGAATATTCCAAAACTGAAAGGTCGTGATAACTACGGAGAATGGGCATTTGCTGCAGAGAATTTTTTGATATTGGAAGGGCTCCAGAATCATATTGAAAATGAAGTGACCACAGCAGCCAATGACACAGATAATAAGGATGGTAAAGCTAGAGCAAAATTCATATTAACGATAGACTCATCGATTTTCGTTCATATCAAAGACACACGATCAACCAAACAATTATGGGACAAGCTTAAATCCCTTTATGATGATTCGGGTTTTGCTCGAAAGATTGGTTTGTTACGAACTCTAATTAGTGCCAGGCTAGAAAATTGTGAATCCATGCAATCCTATGTGAATATCATTGTTAAAACGTGCCAGAAGCTACGAGGGACAGGTTTCAGCATAGATGATGTCTGGATTGGCTCATTATTATTGGCAGGGCTTCCTGAAAAGTATGCCCCAATGATAATGGCCATAGAACACTCTGGTATAGCCATTACAGCTGATGCCGTTAAAACGAAATTGCTCGATATGGAAGTTGACAAGGCTGTCAAAACTGGTTCCGCTTTTGCAGGTAAACAATGGTATACCAAACATAATAAATCGCGTCAAAATTTTCAGAACAAACGCAGAAATGGCAGCACTTATGAGGGAAACAACACTATCAACAATTCCGACAAGAAAAATATTAAGTGCTACTCCTGTGGCCAGTTTGGGCATTATAAAAACCAATGTCCTGGTAATGGGAACTCATCATCAGTGGATCAGAGTAGGTCAAACCTGAATGGGTCAAATAAACCTAGGCAGAATGCTTTTAGCGCCGTATTTCTGAGTGGTGAATTCTCCAAGGACGAGTGGTACATTGATTCGGGTGCTAGTGTGTACTTATCAGTAAATATGGATTGGATTGTGAATAAGGCAGAAAGTTCTCATATAAAAGAAATTGTGGTTGCTAATAAGGATAAACTAAAAGTGTCATGTGCTGGAGAGGTAAATATTCAAACTTTTGTTAATAATAAGACCTATGATGTAACTGTGAAGAATGTTTTGTGTGTGCCACAACTTACTACCAATTTACTGTCTGTAAGCCAACTATTAACAAATGGCAATTTTTAATAATCAGAATGAACTTGTTGCGATTGCTTACTTGAATAATGGTGTATATAAGTTAGGAACAAAAAAGGTTAATGAATGTTTTCTGACTGTAAATGGTATAACATGGCATAGGAGATTCGGGCACATGAATTCCAGTGATCTCAATAAGATGAAAAATGATTCAATTGTTGATGGTCTTCTTTATCCAGGTGAGCTGAAAACCACAAAACAAAATTGTGTAGTTTGTTGTGAGGCAAAGCAAACTAGACTACCTTTTCCCCAAAGGGGCAGCAGAGCTTCTCCTATTCTTGAGTTGGTTCACGCGGATTTCTGCGGACCAATGGAGGTAGCTTCTATTGGGGGTTCTCGATATTTTTTGATTTTGGAGGAGGATTTTTCTCGCATGGCGTTCATTTATTTTTTAAAAAATAAAAGCGAATCCTTCGAAAAATTCAAAGAATTCAAACTGCTAGTGAAAAACCAAACCAATTTAAGAATCAAAAAATTTAGAACCGATAACGGAGGTGAATTTTGTAGTAGAGATTTTGAATATTTTTTGAAAAACTGCGGAATTATTCACCAGAAAACAAATGCCTACACTCCGGAAGAAAATGGTTCTGCGGAGAGATTGAACAGGTCAGTTATAGAGAAAGCTAAGTGATTGTTATTTGATGCAGGACTAGAAACTAAATTTTGGGCTGAGGCTTGTAATACAGCTGTGTATTTAAAAAATCGGTGTCTTACAACTGGCCTAGATAAAACTCCCTTCGAGGTATGGACTGGTTCAAGGCCGAACGTCAGCTCTTTACGCATTTTTGGCAGTTCTGTGATGGTTCACATTCCCAAAGCTAAGAGGTTGAAGTGGGATAAGAAATC